ATCCTCAAAAACTTTCTCATAATTTAAACAGTGAAAAGACCTCTCTGAAATTAGTAACCGTCTTTTCATTAATACAAAAGTTATAAATAAAAATGAAACTAAACAGCAAGATAAATAACAACCTACCCAGATAGTTCTTGTCTCTGAAATCAGAATATCAAAAGCTATTTTCTAGCCAGTTAGAAAACACAAGCAGTAGGATTGTTCAGAACCTAAAACCAGACTGGATAAGTTAACTCTTTAAATTATGTCCCTATTAGTTAAAGACCAAAATAACCCCATAACCTTTCTCTGTTCTTAGGGCAATGTTCATATCTAGTATTCCAATTCCCAAAATACTACTAGCATCAACTCCTGCTATCTAACTATTTTTCAAAAACTCCTAGATTCCAAGAAAGTCATGTCCAAGGTTGGATACTTATACAAAGAGAAAACACCTCTGAGCAGGGAATGTTTTCAACCACCCTTGAAAATTAAAACAGAAAAATAAATAAATAAGTCCGCCTGGGTAAACACAGCCACAGCCCTTAGACTGCTAATTTCAGGCTAAGCCCCTGTAATTTAACGCAGACATCAATTTATTACCTAGCTGTGTTTGATTTTTATATTCCTTAAATTTTATTGTGCCAGGATTGGGGCCAACAAAAGTTAAAGTAGAGAGAAAAAAATCTAACAATTGCCTCTAATTTCATCTAGGGGCTCCTTTTATGAGGAACTGCATGCCCAAGTAATGTCACAGTCATAAAATCAAACTAACCCCTCCTACACACACACACACACACCACCACCACCACCACCACCACCACCACCACCACCACCATCACCTCCTATACTACTCTTGATAAAATGCAGAATTAGTTCATTACTGGTCCTAATAGACAGCATTACCTAAGTCGTTTTCTTGTCTCAGGGCTGCCAATCAGCAGATCAAAAGAAAGATACAAAAAAAAATCTCTTTAAGTGTGATCATATCCACTTTCCCCCATTTCAGTCCCTTTCCTTAGAAATCAGTCTGCTCCAAAAAGAAGGGAAGAGAACACCAACTGACCCTCTGAGAGAAGGATTCCCAAGGCCTGCGATTTGCTGACATGTGGGGAGTTATGATGCTGTGAGAACAGTCCTGATGACAGCAGAACTATCCCACACTGCTCCTAGGGTGTCTAGAACAATCCCAGGGATAATGATAAACTTCATATGTGAAGGGAGAGGGCCCCTCCTGACCCAACAAGCCGCCAGGCACATGAAAGAAACAATATAAACTTGATTTAAATGTGGGATCCCTTCCAGAAGGCTTAATTATCTATTGTATTACCACATTCCCGTTATTCAGCAGTCTCTTCTGTCTCTGACTGAAGTCCAACTACAGCATTTGTTTGGAACAAATTCAGGGAAAACTCCAAACTAACCAGATCATAGAGGACTCAGTTAAATCAGCAACAACAGTTATATAAATAGAAATCTTCTAGGCTGGAAAATATGTGGGCTGTCTGCTAGCTTTCAGGACCCTTGAAGACAATTGGATCCAGTCTATAAAAATCTACACATTAGGTATCCCTAATGTTTGATATCACAGAACACAGCTTGATCAATGTCTAACTAGTTACTTTTATTTGAGGACATCTCCTGAGCTACAAAATTGCTCATTTTGGAATGTTCATAAATCAGTATTTACATCCTGACCTTAGTTGCTTATTTCTTTTGGGGGGAAGTCAGAAGATCAAGTCCTCGAGGTGTCAAAGTATTAGGGACAAAGAGTAAAATATCCTGACATTTCAAATGAATGGCTGTACCTAAATAAACATCATCATTTCAGTTTTTTTAATTAGAAAATTTTGGTTTAAAAATTTGGTTTAAAAAAAAAGTTGGTGTTTGACTCAAGGAAAGTGTAACCACTATTGGACAGAATGGTATTTTCACCTTTTAAGGGGCTGCCTGACCCAAGGTATTCACAGCTAATAATTCAAAGACAAAAATCTCCCCATCAGCCATGGATGCATACAAGTGGCTAAAATAAGCAGGACAACTCCAACTTCATGAATGTGTGTTACTGTTGCATTGTACTTAGGCATGTGGAAACAACATTTGAACTTCATGACTTTTGAAGAAAAAGTACTGTTTGAACATTCCCTTATGAAATGTTCCACAATTTACCTTCTCTGCATCTCAATTTTTAAGGGACCACAACCCCACCCGAAAAAGCAAGAAGAAAGCAAAGTCATGTTTACTAATATAATAGAAAGTGTTCTCTAATTCTTTCAGTACAACTCTCCAAATAAGAGTTCTATCCTGAGTGATAAATATCTGGTCATTCCAAACAGTTTCTGATCAATATCTAGTCCTGCACTTCAGGTGTGCAAGTTTTCAAGGAATTCTTGAAGGTAAGGATTACAGATGGAAAGTTTTAGGCTATAAGCCTCCTGAAGGCAGGCTGGGAGATTCTTCTGGCCATTTTTTCCCTTACTTTGTCCAGTGTCTTGAATAAAGAAATTGTCCTTAAGCCTACTTTTTTAAATCATCAATTCACTTTCTCCTACCATAAGTATTCTACAGAGTAATAGCATCAAGAGTTTCAGATATATATATAGATATATATATATATACACACACACACACACACACACATATATATATATATATATATATGCTTTGTTCTAAGAGTATGTTTGAAATGTGGAACAGAGGATTTGGGGAGAAAAAAAAAGAATACATGAATCTAAAACGCAACCCTTGAGCTGACCAATTCTGAGAACACGCTAGAAACTAAAGAGCACAGCATATTGATTGTAAATATCTGTGTTTCAATAGATATTTTTAAATTAAAAACCTTCATGGTTCTACCAACACCTCTCTGAACAATACATACAGCTCACACACACACCCCTCCTCTGCAAAATCTCCTTGGTTCTGGCCAACAGCTGGCAAGTTGATCCCTGCAATTTTCTCTTTGCAGAAATAGCTTTGTGAGGGGAGAACTGACCCTCACCAGCTAATAAGCCCAAACCCCACCAAACCTGGAGGGCTGAAATGGAAGGCACATTGTGGTGTTAAGTACTTTACAACAACTGTTTCTTCTCCTCTTGACACAGCCTGACTTCCTTAAAGAAGATTTGACTGGCCAGACAGCTGTGTTGACCCTTAAGCCTTCTTTGATTCCTGATTTTTTTTTTTTAACAAACAGAATAGAAATTCACAACCCAAATCCTCTCTTAAGCTCCAATACTTTTGAAATGTGCTAGTGTTGTGCCTGAAGGATGTGGACATTTCAGTAATCTATAAACAGAAAGATAAAGATTGGATCCATACAATACCAAAATCAAGAAAGAGAGCAGGAGGAGGGGAGGGGCGAGGACAAGCAATCAACCAGACCATTTAACTCAAGGTAATACTTAAAATTGTGTAGACCAAATCTGCTTAATTTCCTAAAAATTGTTACTTTTTACTCAGACATTTGTGGCCATAAACAAAAACCCAGAACAGAGACAAACATGTTTCCAAATGTTAATCATAAGGGTCATTTCCAGCAGTGGTCAGGATGTTCATCTTTTGGTATAGTTCTGTATTGGTCAACTCATCTAAAACTGAGTATGCATAAGGTTGTGAAAATTTATTTTTTAAAACAAATATGTGTCCTGTTCTAAGATAAGGAAACATGGACTAGCAGAGTGTGTGTGTGTGTGTGTGTGTGTGTGTGTGTGTGTGTGTGTTGTGTGTGTGTATGTGTTTACTAAGTCTAATCATTTGGTCTGTTTATCCAGAGCTTGTCAGTTCAGACAACATGATCACCAAGATATCGCTGGCATTTCTTAGTGTGGTGCTTAGTCCTCTCCAGTATGTCCCCTTTCATTTTGTTTTAAAAACATCATGGAAACTACATTTTTAGGCACATCAACCCCTTTTTGGATTACCTTCAAATAGTGCTGTCCACTTTATTCACCAATGACCAATGCAGAATTCTCAGATGCATACACCCACACAGTCAATATAAATACCAGTTTTAATGTACAGAGACAGAGCACTCTTTTGTACCATTTTTCTCTCCCCAAACCCTCCACAGTACTGTGAAGCTAATGCTCCTAAGTTAGCCACTTTCCTGAGGGAAAGCAATTGATTCTCCTTACTTCCCTGAGCTCCTCCAGGTCTGCCCAGCCCAGCAAAAATAAGGAAAACTCACATTCACTTGGGAATTACAGAAATCTAGCTTCAAAATAAACCAGTCGCTTAAATACTTGCCGCCCAACTCCCAGAAAACAGAACATTCGGGCTGACAGGAGGAGAATCGAACCTGCTGTGTAGCAAAAAGCATACTCAAGACTAGACTTAAGTGAGGATATCTTTAGGAAAGGACGGCTTTCAAGTCAGGCCCCAATTTCTGGCCCCCTAACTCCTTCACTGGAGGGCTTATCAAAAGCCAAGCATACTGGAAGAGAAAAGGCCATACACTGTGTGCCAACTTGGAGCAGCAGCAGTTCCATTTCCAAGCCCAATCTGTCGCCAGTGTACAAACCCAAGCAGGAAACATAAACCGTGGCTCCATCCAACCTCATAGCCCAGGCACACGCACGAGAAATGCTCAACACACCTGGGTAAAATTGTATGGGAACCAAAAAAGCCACATCGGTCACTGACAGCCCAGTGGTCACTGACAGCCCAAAGGACAGGCACCAAGCTCGGAGGACGTCACAGGCCCACAGAGAGTGGTCCCTGGGAATGGCCAGGTTTAGGGAAGGGGACTGGGAAGACTAAAACTGGGGGCGAAATCAAGAAAGAAATAATTTCCCGCGCGCTTCTGGTTGTGGTAGTGCGCACAGGCGCAGAAGCCGACCGCCTAGGGAAAGTGCGGAAGACCCACCCCCGGGTGAACCAAAGTCTGTGGGCTTCCGGGTGGGTACCTTCTACGCCTTCCAGAAGAGGATGCAGATGAAGGAAGAAAAGTCCCCCGAGCACACAGAGGCCAGTGCGCGCGGGGGGCAAGGGAGCGCCCCAGCAGCGCAGCCACTTACTTCTCGTAGTCATACTTGCAGTAGAGCTTTTTGTCCCGGTAGAAGCAGGTGGTCTCCAGGGGCTCCTTGCAGGAAGCACACTGCACACACTGTTCGTGCCAGAAGCTGTCGTTGAGCCGAAGTAGGAACCGGTCGGAGATGACCCGCTGACAGCCCTCGCAGACAGACTTTGCGCTCACTGTTCTGCCTGCAGCCGCAACAGACAGACGCCAGTGAGCCGCTGGCGCAGGTCAACCCTGTCAAACCCGCTAGCGATCGCTCCACACCCATCGATTTCCAGGGGACCCTCCACCCCAGGAAGAAGCACCCTGACACCAGCCATCATCAGCTCTGATGGGGGGGAGGGGGAATCAAGCCAAGTGAAAGAAATAAGTGGTGACGTTTTCTCATAAACAGGGACTGTATAGGGAAATTTAAATTCTAGAGGAGGAGGCAGAAATCATCGGGTGGCATTTAGTTATCAAATATAGTCAAGTATGAGCGCAAGCGGATTTATATTCTGTAAAATTAAGGTTGCAAATAAAAGGGCGTTTCTGAGTTTATTACGTTCCAATTACGCAGCAAAACGCTGTTTAAAACGAATGATAAAACGTTTAAAAACAGAACGAGCAAAAACCAGGTCTGCGTTTTTCTTTGTTAAAACACAATCATACTGTTTTGTTTTCATTTTTTTAAGAGGGAAACTTGAAATTTTCTCTTTTCCTAAAAAGTCCCATGGGTAAAGTCTCACCCTGGGCAAACGCAATATTGGTTAAACCAATGAACCCAAACTATCTTTTGGCTTGTGTGCAAATCGCAGATGGGCTTTTCATAATTAAGAAGTGTCAAAACAGACGGAATTTAAAATCGCAGCGCCAAGGCACTGAATACTCAATGCTGAGGCCTGGGTACTCGACGCGCGCCCAGTAGCGGTGCGCGAAGAAAGATCTCCCCGAACTACTCAACAACCTCGGGGGAACCCGCTCCATCCTACCCTTGGGCCTTTATGTATTTTTTTTTTTTGCCCCTTTAGTTTGCAGACCTAAGCGTCCTTTTTTTTTTTTTTCATGGATGACGCCTGGTTGCCTTTGTTGGCACATTTCATAACTATTTAAAGAAGTCCTCGTTCCCACGATCACACGCTTGAGCGCGGTGTCCCAAAGGACTGGCCCTCTTCCGTGTCTCTGCGATACTCAGTTTCCCCTGAGTCGCTTTAGGAAAGAGGCTGGAAGGGCTGGGTAAAGCAGCGAGATGGTTCTCAATTTTTAAAGTTCTGTTTGTTTTCTGGGTTGATCGGTATCCCAGGCCATGCCTCCAGGCGTTTGAGCGGATGTAGGCCGGGCCCCACACAGGGCAAAACGCTTCGCCAGCCGTGTAGACTTCAGTCCGAACCCGCTATCAGCCTGTGCAGTGCGGGCTCCGGCCCGCCTACTCTTCGGAAGCTGGACAGGGGGTGAGGGTGGGGGTGTCTGGACACTGTAGGAACCGAGGCTGAAAAGCCGAGCACAGAGTGCGTGATTTCGTTTGGGGGGTGGGGGTGGGAATTTTTCTCTGGATTTGGTTACTCCAGTCCAAGCGTCGCATCCCTTGCCTTCAATCTGCTGTAGCGGTTTCAAGGGAAGTAAAGGGGAGAGGGGCTTAAGATGACAAAACGAAAAGTTTCTCAAAGAAAGAAAAAAAGAGAGAGGAAGAAAGAAAGAAAGCAGCACACCTTTTATTCAAATCTGAAAAGGACTAAGAGTAAAGTGGGTAAGATCTCTAACAAGAATGTCTACACCGATTTTCAAAAAGACCTATATTCTTGGGGTATGTGGACTCGCCGTTGCTCCGCTTGGGCGAGAAGGGCCTGGGGTGGAAAGGACCCGCGGAACCTAGGATCCGGCTTCAGTTAATTAAAGCCTGGGCGAGTGCCCCGCAGGGCTGCCTAATCCCCGCGTTGCGCTGCCCACCCGCCCGGAAAAAGAAGTCCCTCGGCCTTGCCCAAGGCTGGAAAGGGGGTTAGAGTTGGTGGGGGCAAGAAACCGCCTCGAACTTGGGTGCTCCAGGCCTCGGGTACTTGCTCTGAGGCCGCAGAGAAACGGGTGGCATTTATGAGCCGTCGATCAGCTCCGTGATTAAAAAATCCAGCCCTGGGTAGTTTTTAATCACTTGCCACTCAAGCGCCGGCGAACACGCTTGCCCGCCCCTCGCGGCTTTAGGGAATTCGATGCCCGGCTTGTGAAGCCTGAGGGAGGTTTACTGGTTTTGTTTAGACAGGGACGACTCACGAGGACTGACGGACACCGACAGACTAGGAGTGCGGTGCACAGGGCGCGGGATGCTAACTCCCCTGTCGCTGTTTCCAGAGCTGTCTGGGCCTGGGGTGCGCCCCAGGGCACGGGGCCTCATCACTCACCCAGCAACGAGGAGAAGGAGGCTGAGGTTTCGATGGCGCTTTGGAAGTTCTCCTCCATCTTCAGGCCGTCCAGCATGTTCGGACCGAGCCAGGAGGACCTGTAGAGGAGAGGGAAGGATGCGACTGACTTCCGTGCCCGAAGGGACTCGGCGCTCTCGGGGGGCCGCACTCCTGGGAAAGGACGAAGGGAGTGTCCAGGGTGACCCGAATGAACCGGGAGGATCGAGTCCCGCCTAGAGAAACACGGGGCGGGAGGGGAGAGACGAGTCACACAGCGCACTGCTCTGACTGATCTGATTTCACTTGAAGTCAACGCGTTAAGTACCTAGGCCTCCCTCCTCCCCCCACCCCCTCGGTGTTTCTCCTGCCCCCCACCCCCACCCTGCCTGTCCGCAGGTTTCCCATCCTGAGATCGACTCCGCCCAACCTGTAGTAATGTGGGCCCTGGGGATGTCTCTTCTGGGACTCAGCTACTGGGTACGACAGCAATAAAAACAATTTTTAAAACAAGAGGGGGTGCTCTTCCCCGCCTATCTGGGCCCAAGCACACCAGGACATACCCCGAGGTCCGGGTCACCCCGTGTCGCGGCCCTCACCTGCCTGGGCTGGGAGAGAGGCAGAGTAATGAAGCGGAGGGACGTCCCGCCCGCTTCCGTCGTGCTGGCGCGCGCGCTGCTGGGGGGCGCGCGGGAGTGGGCGTGCGGGGCGCGCGGGGAGGTCCTCGCGCGGGTCGGCCAGGGCCGGGAATGTCTGCAGGAGCAAAGAAGTCGCCTCGGGGAGGAGCCGCGACTGGCCCGGCTCACTCTTGGATGCATTTCAAATCAACTTTCAAAAAAACACGCCCGCCCGAGCCGGAGCTTAGGAGCCCGCAGCCTTCCTTACCTGATGGGCGAGCCAGCTCCCCGGCTCCGGAGCAGAGGGAAGTTGCGGGCTGCCGCGGGAAGCTCCGGCGGAGGAAGGCGTCACCCCCGCGGCTGCAAACCCCAGCAGAAGCCCCGATTCTGGCGCGCTGGGGAGAGAGCAGAAGTGAACGCCGGCCCCCCGGTTCCACTCCTCAGCGCGCAGGGGCCGGGCCGGGACGTGGCCTGCTCGGGACGTCCGGCCAGCCCGCTTTGCTGTGCGCGGAGAGGGGAAGGCCGGATGCAACTCCGAGGCTGGCAGTTCGGGAAGACAGAGGCCTGGGGTCCTGGGTGCAAGTCGGCTCTGCTTCTCCGAGGCGGATCCCGCGGTTTCTGACAGGGGCCGCAGGGCTGCGTGCGCCGCAGAGCGAAGGGGGTGGGGTGCGCAGGGCGGGGGACTGGGAGCGCGTCCCGTGGCGGGGCCGAGGTGCTGGGTTTCCCCAGTGTGGCTGCTCAGCCCACCTCGTGGCCGCCGCCTGGTGCGCCCCTCTGCTGCTGTGACCTCCGGGGCACACGAACTTTCCTCCCGGCCGAGTGGAGCTGGTACCTTGGGGAGCCGCGCCTGAGAGTTCGCGGAGATCTGCGCGCCCGCCGCCTGGACCGCGCGCCGCGGGGCTGGCTGCAAAAGGGGTCGCTCTCTCCTCCCGACTGCAAGCGGTCACTCCGCGCCAGTCTTCACCTGGGCAGCGTCGGTAATTATGCGCATCCCACCTCCCCACCCCAAAACCCCGCAGCTCTAATGACTCAGACCTTTCCTCATCACTCAAGGGTTCCTGCAACGTCCCAACTTCCTTTAGGTTCCAAAACCTGTTCACCGTTTTGCACCGAACGTAGCCAGTTCACTGCTGGGATGTGCGGCTCTAACAAGACCCACGGCCGCATCTTGAATCAGACTCTCCGGAGAGACTAGGTAGGATCCCATCCCTAGACCGTAAACTGACAATAGCAATGAGGAGAAATTTAGCTAAGGGGACGAAGTTGGGGGGGGGAGCGCAGGGACCGGAGGGGGGAGTGAAATGCTAACTCCCAGTACTCTCCTAACTTGAGCTGATAATGCCAGCTTCTGTCTCTCCAGGAGCAGGAATGGGGTTCACAGAACTCTGAATTCCAAGAAGTGCCTGACCCCAGGTGGTTCGATAAATCGATCATAGCACTGTCTAACGTTGATTAGATACTTACTCTGTGCCAGCTTTGGTTATACAAGTTAACTCATTCAATCTTTACAATTCTTGGCTCCTTATTACTAGTGAAGGAAACGGGCTGCGTATCATGCTGGACACCTGAATACTCTAAGAAGGCCCAATTCAATGGGATTCCCTGGGGCCTTCTCGGTAACTACACTGAACTCTGAACATTGAGTCAGAACTGGCAGGCCTGCTGGCCAGGTGAATCCAGGCCGAGGAGATTCCCTGAAGCAAGGGTTTTCCATTACTTTTTCTAAGGACAGGACCACGTCCTAATTTTAAAGAAAAAACACTGGCAGCAAATTGCTCCAGTGTGCTTTGGGAGCAATGACTCCCTCCTACCATTCTAAGTGCTTTCCACCAATAGGCACAAACACCGAGCACAACTTGAGAAAAGTAAGGGAAGAAGAGCATCATTGAATACCTTAGATTTGAATGCTGCTTTATTCTTTTCAGGATAGTTTCACATGTGTGATTTTGCTTGATCTTTACAACAAACCTGTGAGGCAGGCAGAGCAAATAGTTTTATCCATTGTTCCAGATGAATCTGTGAGGCGTAGGACATGTGGGAGATTTTTCTGATGTTACTCAGGTGCTAGTGGCATATCTCCCAAGGCCTGGCCTTTGTCTTCTCTGCCACCCCCCAGATAGACAGGATGGGGAAAAAAAATAGAAGTTTGACAGCGAGCAAAAGAATGAGCAGAGAAAATCCAACCATAAGGAATACTTTTAAGTGGCCAACAGACTTTTAGTTTCACTAAAAGCCTTGAACATAAGAAATATATTTACCTAGCAGATGTGTGTGTGTATACTTCAAAAATTAATAGAGTCTCATTTGATCTGAGTGATCTGAGACCAGACTCTTCCCAACAGTTTTTGCATGTGGAAGGCAGCTTGATTAATATAGATTACACAAGTTTGTGTTGGGACTGTCTTCTCCCATCAGGCTTGGGAACTTAAGGATAAGGACTATGACAAGCCCTACCATCTTAGTGCAGAATCAGGCACAGAGAAGTATTGGCAGTAGAATTCATTTGGCCAAGGGTGAGTGGACCTCTCAGGAGAGCTAGGAAGTGCTGAAGGACTATGCCCTGTTCCCAGGAATCAAAACCTGCTGTTTATCCAGGCACCATCCATGGTGGCTCAAACCTGTAACCTAGCTATTCAGAAGGCTGAGACCTGAGAATTGAGGTTCAAAGCCAGCTGGGGCAAGAAAGTCCATCAGACACTTATCTCCTATTAACCACCAAAAAGGCAAAGTGGAAGTGTGGCTCAAAAGGTAGACTTTCTAGTTTTGAGCACAAAAGCTCAGGGACAGTAACTAGGCCCTGAGTTCAAGCCCCAGGACCAGCACACACACACACACACACACACACACACACACACACATCTTCCTCTTTGGAGTAAAAGGGCTGTTGTGCTATTCAGTCTGCAAGGTCCTCTGAGCCTAGCATTGTGAAAATCAACATGCCAATGGGTCTAATATCACCAGCAGATCCCTGGAGTATGCTGACCAGCAGCTGGCTAGGTATAATCTTCACTGATGGATCTAAGTGTTGTATGTAGACCAATAAAGGTACAACATCTTGATTGAACATTTGGCTTCTCCCTATGAATTGGGAATCACGTATCTCCCTCCTACCCCAGGACTGCATCAATTCAATTGTAGCTACCTCACAGACGTGGATGGATGGTGGATGGACAGGGAGAACATTCTGATCACACCTTCTGACTTCCCATTTTAAGTTCCAATAGTGATGTTTGCCTTTTTAATGAGAGAACAAGATACCACAGAGCCACTATCAGAAGCCTTTATGAGAGATAGGCTATATTCACCTTTAAAAATATTTTCCGATGGAGGGAGGGAAAGTGGGAGAAAAATGAAGGAATGGGTACCAAGTTCGACAAAAACGTACTTACTACCTTATGTAACTGTAACATGTTTGTACATTACCTTGACAATAAAAATAAAAATAGAATTTGTGAGAGGTAGGCTTCAGAAAGGACACACAAAAAAATTATACTTTCAGAGTTGGAGGTGATGGGTAAGCTCATCTGGTCCAATGGTTTGGTTTTGTGGTGGGTCACAATTTGTTTACATAGACCTGCCCTCAAGGCAGGCCTGGATTCATCTGGGGCTAGTGATTCAGAAAGTGAAAACCTGCTCAGAAAGGGAAAACACTTTCAGATGAAGGCAGAGCTGCCCTCACTGTCTGGTCCTCTTTCTAGCTAAGCCGAGTCTCATAGAAAAACCTCATGAGTCCTTTTCTGTACTACAGAGTACTAGTAAGGCATATCTTTGCCACATTGTATCATCATAAAGTTGGAGTTACTGTACAATTGGTGTTTGGATCCTAGTGTGAAACCTACAATTATCCCTGCTAAGGCATGGGCAGCATCTTAAACACAGGGAATATTGCCACTTCAGGCAGATTCCAAGAGATCCAGGGATTCTGTCTTGGCCTAGCAATGTGCCTTTAGGAAGAAATGTAGAGTCTGTGTTAGGGTTGTTTTTTTGGGGGGGAGGGGGCGGGGAGGCAGCTGTTGCTATGACAAAATACCTGAGGAAAAACAATAGAAAAAGCGAAAGGTTTGTGTTGGCTCACAGTTGCAAAGGCTTCCATATATGGTTGCTGACCCTTACTATTTCTAGGCCTATGGTAAGACAGTATATCATACCATGATATACTGAGCAAAGCTGCTCACCTCATGGTAACAGAAAGGAGGCTGGAGAAGGAGGAAGAGGAGGAGAGGATGCTTCTACATCAGGCCTTAGTGACCTACTTCCTCTAATTAGATCATGCTTCCAAATTCCCATTAAGCTGTGCCCATTCATTAACCGTCAATCCACTGATGAGATTTAACTCTAGTGGTCTGAGCACTGTGGTCTGAGCAACTGAGAAATCAACACCTCTGGGAGACATTCTAAATCCCGCCCTTTCCAGGGTGATCTGGAAGCAGCTCTCCCAGGAGACAAGGAGCAGTGAAGGACTATTCACCAGGCTCTCTGTGCAGGGACCTTGTAACCTGAGGGTACTTCTTCACATGGGATTTTCTCCTCATCCTATTGTGGTACTTTGCCATAATCTGTCTTCAGACAGCGAATTGTAGATGAGCTGAGACTTGTAGATCGGCTGTAGAGTTACCCATCTAAGGTAGGAAATAAAGAAATAAAAGTACCAGAGTGGTGAATCTTTGTGGCTTAGCTTTGGAGAGAGGAGTCATGGAGGAGTCAGAGACCAATGTTCATTGAGAGGGAGGAGGGGCACGGGGGAGGGGGGACAGATGTCCTACTATAGAGTGAAGATGACAGGAACATATTTTTTTACTTTCCTTTTCTTGCTCTCATTTCTGTATTTTATTAAGGGAAACACAAAGGGAAAATTGTGTTATTTGTTAAAAAATGTCAATGTGCATTTCAAGGAAGAGGAAAAGAAACAGAAACATTGCTGCCTAGACAGAGACAGCAATGCTGTAATGGGGGGCAGCCAGAGCCTGGGGAGGGGAAGGAGGACACCCTTGAACTGTGCTCTCCCCTCACCGCTCATTACTTTCCCATGAATCCCCAGGTCTTGTGCGAACATTCAGGTCTCTTAATGGAGCTGGAGGAACAGCTGCCTCAAAACTTTGAGATGAAAAGGGAATATCCTAAATCAGCCTCTGGAATAGGAAGGAAAC